CACTTGGAGCTGATTTCCTGTTTTTTTTACAGTCTTTTAAGTCCAACAATTAAAATTCAATAACAGGAAACTTGGGGGACAAAATAAAACCACCCGCGGACCGCCAGTTCGGGTGCCCTGTTCAAGATGTTACCTCAAATCACACACCATACACCCAACAATGATCAAATGTTTATAATGACTCTATGTACTGTATTCTATCCAGGAATCCCAAGTTTTACGAAAGCACTGTGGGCTACCTCGCATATCATACGTTAATGTTTTTCTAGTGGCATACAAGAACTGACCTCATTAATCCATCGAGTGATATTGAGAGGATCCTCATGGTTCCACTTAAAAGTGATACATATATTGGCCTCAGTCATAGCTAAGCTAAATAAATTCTTAATTCGTCATCATGGAAGTTAGATGTACTTCCGTATGAAGGACCTCGTGTAAACTACTTTCAATCTCCAGCTGCCACTGTTCGAGTTCAGAGCAGGCCTATGTCCTGTGTAATAGAGAACCTGTCTCTGTTTTACAGCGAGGGCAGTGTTGGGACAATTCCTTTTTAAATAGGTTTATTCTTTCAGGTGTAAGATAAGCTCTATGAATTCATTTGTACTGACAAAGCTTGCATCTTGTGTACTCTCTGGGATTGCTCATTAATGTCAGACCATTGATCTTCTGTGATCTGGGTCCCAAGATCCCTCTCCCATTTCTTTTTCACCCTTGTTGTGGTACATTTGGAATATTCTGTTAATAAGCTACAGTGCCGTGAAAAAGTATTTGTCCACGTTCTGATTTTCTCTATGTTTGCATATTTTCGATACTGAATGCTATCAGATCTTCAACCAAAATCTAATACAAGATAAAGGGAACCCGAGTTTACAAATAACAAAAAAAAAAAAAGATACTTATTTTACTTATTATTAATTTTACCATTTTCATGTAGACTTGATTGTGTGTTTTGGATCATTGTCTTGCTGCATGACCGAGCTGCACTTCAGCTTCAGCTCACAGACGGATGGCCTGACATTCTCCTGTAGACTTATCTGATTGAGCAGAATTCCTGGTTCCTGTTATTAAGGCAAGTTGTCCAGGTCCTGAGGCAGCAAAGCATCCCCAAACCATCACACTACCACCACCATGCTTGACCGTTGGTATGAGGTTCTTAATGTGGAATGCAGTGTTTGGTTTTTGCCAGATATAATGGGACCCATCTCATCCAAAAAGTTGACTGAAGTTTGCCAAAAAGTACCTGGAAGCACCTGGATGATCATCAAGACACTTGGAAAAAGATTCTGTTGACAGATGAGTCAAAAGTATAAACTTGGTCTCTCAGACCTGTTGTAAGTGTAGTATTGAGTGTAATTGGGAAATAGGGGGACAAATAAGTATCCTGCCCCATATATCGATGAACATCATTCCATACCTTTACAGATTGACTAAGAATGGTGTTTCCAGTAAAAGTCTTAATATTCTTGGGAGTAAAGCAATATTGAACATATTACATACTGTATCTTGTACTTTTAGAATATGCCCTTCAATCTGAGTCCATGTAGGAGGGTTATTCTCATTAAACCAGTGAAATAGTGGTCTAATCTGAGCAGCCCAGAAATATAGCTGAGGGTCTGGTAGGACCAATCCTCCCTCTTCATATGACAAGTTCAGAGGGCTTCTCTTAATTCTTGCAACCTTATTATTCCATAGGAATTTGTCCACCAGTGAATTATATTTGCTGAAGAATGACTTGGGGATCTCAGTTGGTATGGATTGAAACAGATACATTAACCTGGATAGTACATTCATCTTTATGCCATTAATTATTCCTATAAGAGACATGGATAGGGTAATCCAATTGGACAGGTCTTTACCAGTCTTCTCCATCAATGGAGTGTAATTTAGTTTGTATAAATTATTCAAATCTCCATCAATCACAATTCCCAAATATTTAACTTTGGACTTAACCTGAAATGGTAGATATGACCCCAACGCTGGTGGATTTGCTTTAGATATTGGAAGGACCTCAATCTTAGACCAGTTAATTTTATTACCAGAGAAAGTACTGAAAGAATGAATCATATTCAACAGGGCCCTCAGTGATATGTCTGGTTTTGTGAGAAATACTAAGATATCATCAGTGTACAAAGAAATCTTGTGCACTATATCTCCCACTGAAAATCCTGTGATGCAAGTGTTCTCTCTAATCTTTTGAGTCAGTGGTTCCAAAACCAAAGCAAAGAGCATGTGGGAAAGAGGACACCCTCATCTCGTACTACGACCAATAGGGAAGCAGAGCAGACACCATTTCATTCGTGCTCACTCTGGCTTTTGGTCTGTCATATAAAAGCTTAACACAGTTACTGAAATATGTACCAAAATTGAAATGCTCCAAAACCTTGAAGAGATACTCCCATTCAACACGATCAAAGGCTTTCTCTGCATCAAGTGATACTACAACTGCGGGTTCATCTGACTGTCTTGCTTCGGATAAGATATGAAAAAGGCGCCTTAAGTTATTAGTTGACATTCTTTAATGAACCCTGGTCATTGTTAATCACTGTTGGTATGCCAATTAGGAATGAGGGGGATGATTAGGTGGCCATGATGGAATGTGGCCAGGTTGGGAATGTAGCCGTGACACCGGGGTGAACACCCCTATTCTTACAATAAGCATCATGGGATTTTGAATGACCACAGAGCCAGGACACCCGTTTTAACATCCCACCTGAAAGATGGCACCCTACGCAGGACAATGTTCCCAAATGTAATCAAGGTTTGAAATGATTATGTTTTAGTCAAATACTATATCTGTTTAGGCTTCTTACGGTCAATTTGCAGTCTACAGTTTGTATTTATTTATTGTTCCGGACCCCCGACCATCCGCTAAAGAAAGAATTGGCGACGCTGAATCTAGTTGATGATCCCTGATCTAGAAGGATGTGTTGATATATTCATATTCAAGTGTTATGGTATGGTATAATACATACAGTATGAGTGATATATCTATACGTTGTATGTTTTTGTTTACCATTCTGTATACATTATTTATTTATTTATTTGCGCTGCTTCTAAAAATGTCATTATTGAACATCACATTAAAGATTTATTGAATGTTGTGAAAACCAATAAATACACATTTCCAAAAAACAACATACATTTCACCAGGTCAAATTCCTGATACATGTAAATGTACTTGACGAATAAAGGTGACTCAGATTCTGATAAGAACAGACAAACCTGTGTAAAGTCATTAAACCTCTTTAATAATGTGGAGATGAAATACAACAATTGAGACGTAAGCGCCATGGCTGATACATTGTTAGAGGCAGAACAACAACGACAACAAAAGCCACAAGGTGTATATTTATAAATACTGTTCTGAGGAAACAGGTCAAAAAAGGTTTTACAGACATTAACTGTTCTGTGTGCAGAAAACATATGTATAAAATAGTGTATCATAATAAGAGTGAATCTTATAAAGGCCACAAGACTTTGAAAATTACAAATGAAAAAATGGTATGTACACATTCAAATGATACTGCATATAGAAAGGTGCCTTGGCCTCAGTGCAATAGTTATAGTGCCTACATTGTGCAGAAGCATGCAGACAAGAATACTGAATAATATACTATATGGACACTTACAGTGTTCATTATAGGTTCTGTATTTTTGTACGATTTTTGAAAGCACCCGATCCCCATAGAATACATTGAATAAACCATATTGAATTGGATCATTGATCATTCTGAATCTGTAGCTGCCAATACTGTATTATTTCGCTGTAGAACTGCAGGGCAATAAAATAATGAATCAAAGAAATGAAAGTAAAGTGAACGATATTCCCACATAGGCATAGGAGAGCATATCAACAATGCAGTTTGAACAGTGGCTCTACTTTTTCTTTTCAAATTGACTGGTGATTATATGCTTTTCCATGATTGGTTAATCGATTTCTCTTCTGCATATTTATGCAAATGAGGCACTTAAACTATCTGATGCATTTCTGTATGAATACTTTACCAAGGCACATCTCCTTCTTGGGTGTTTTCTATCAATAGAAGCAAAATAGAAGCAAATAAAACTGCAGGTACACAGGAATCCCACTGGGCACAGACATCAATTCAACGTTTATTCCAAGTTGGTTCAACATAATTTCATTGAAATTATGTGGAAACAACGTTTATTCAACCAGTGTGTGCCCAGTGGGACACTTCACAAAATAACAGAAAAGACTAAACTGGCTCAATTACATATTTATAATTTTGATTAAATGCTTACAAAAATACAAAATACGAATTTTTTCAAAAAACAAAACAAAGCTGAGTAAATACATTTATTTGTTGTTGTTGTTGTCATCACATTCTGATTAACATATATTGTTGTAATAATAGGATATATCAAAATGGAGCATGGTTTGTGATGCAAGAATATGTGGCAAGTCTCAAAGGCCATCACAAGGGAAATAGTTTTTATTAAAAAAACTTTAATTCTTTACTCCACATTCATTCAAGCCATTGAAGTACTGTGATTGCTGGGGAATAGCTTTTTTCACTATCAAAATAAACATTTGATGCAGTTTAAACTGTATACCATTCATACATCCTGTCTATACTATCATATGCCAACATATTTAGCATTTTCCAAATGCAAATGCTCTTCTTCTTGCCCTTATAGTCATACTGTAATGAATTCATCAGGCTACTCTGGCATCGACTATCTCACCTTTCCTTTTGGAATTTGGCTTGATCCTATATATTCATATTCATTTAGGGAATAAAAAAAAACGTAAAAGTAATCCCAGTAATCTCATTCAACGTCTTATCTCTTTTTCCCTATTACTGCTTATGTCATCATCTTTAGTCTTTCCTTTCCAAAACTATTCTGGCAATTCTTTAACATCAGAGGCACAATGAGCCACAATTAAAACGTGGTACAATTCAAAACAACCAATAAATATATTCTGTCTTTCCTCCAAACCGACCAGACGTGAGTGTATGGCACTCTATTCCCTATATAGTGCACTACTTTTGACCAGGGCATGCACACCCAAGGTGAAAGCAAGTCAAGGAGGAGCTCCAGTGACAGTCAGTCTGGTTGCAGAAGAAAAAGGAGCCACACGGCCCTCTGGTCCAAACGCTCTGTATCTTGTATCCAAACATAGGATTTGAGACGCATAGAAGAGAAACGAAGGAAGCCATCTTGGCCAGTCTCCTAGTCTCCTTGGTGAAGTAAGGCATGGTGGTGGTAGAATCCCCAAAGGCACCTGGCTGTGTGAGTCTGTCTGTGTCCGTGTGTCTGTTTGTTTAACGACGAGGGCTACACATCAGTGTCTCAACAAATTCCATTCAGCCGCGGAAAAGGCGGGTTCCTCCTACCATGTAGAACCTTCTAGAAGTCGCAACAGTTGGTTTGATTGTTCTCTGAGAAGTATGTGGTTCCATTGGGCAGGGACGGGAACTGGAACGATATGTTTTCCTCCATTGGACAGTTTGTGACCTGGATAGTAAATAATGGACCAATTAGGAAGAAGTTAGCCACAACAGATCACAAAGACAAGGGGAGGATGTAATGCATGCAACCCACAGCATACTAACTTGTTTGAGTGCTTTAAAAATCCTCATTATACCCTTCTCAAAGAAACCACCAACAATGGACAAAGAAAATCTTCAAATTTGTGTACAAGTACATAAAACAGAGTAATTGGCTCTAAATGCTTCAACATACGTCAAAGACAAATATGAAACAGATACTGTACATTCATCCCAAAGGCCCCCTCGTGGCTCATAATAACTATCCTACTAGTAAAACCTTAAATACTGGTGCAATTACAAACGTTGTAATCTGGTTGTAATAATGAAACAAGCATCCCTTGAAAAATAGGTATATTTACCTCGATGGGACAATCTGTTAAAATAAAGGTTAAATTAAAGTACTGGTTCCTGTATTACCTGTGTCTGCCCGTTGCTGTTGAGGTACTGCTGCTGGACCAGCAGGCTGTCTGGTGTGAGGCCCCCAGGGGTTAGACCAGGCCCCACCTGACAGGACAGAGGGCTGATGTTGGTGTCATCCTGTGGGATTGCCGAGGACCCCACGATGGGCCCGCTGGTGTTCCTCTGGAAGTAGCAGGAGGCCTGGGAGGGACTCTGGTCGTGGAGGGGGGCCGTGGCCCTCTGACAGGAGGATGGTACCAGGGAACCAAGGGCCGTGTTGGGGGTGAAACGGATCCCGTTGACAGGAACCAGGGGGGGGTTGGTGCTGCTGAACATGCAGCTGTTGGAAGAGACGAGAGGAGGGGCGACGACAGCAGAGGTCTTTTGAGGCCTGTACTGGCCTGATGTTGTTTGAGCCCTGTTATAGTTCTGGGCCTGAGAGTTCTGTTGTGGCTGGGCCTGGAGCCCAGGGATGGGGAGTTGGGGAGCTATTTGGAAGTCAGACACCTGGTTATTATAAAAGCTGCCCATTACATTGTTTTGGTGTCTATTTTGTTGGGGTAACATCGTGGGCAGCATTTGCTGCTGCTGCTGTTGCTGGTAAGACTGTCCCTGATTCAGACTGTTCTGGGTCTGCAGGGAAAAGTGTCCTTGTAGGCAGCTAGCCGGGTTGGGATCTAGAATGACGTCTTGTTGTTGATTTGAAATATTCTGGGCAAAGGTTTCCACCATGTTGGATTTGGGCATGGAGCAGGGCAAGGGCATCCACATGGTTTCCTGACCGGGCACTGCAAAGGGATCTGATTGGCTTATGGAGCTCTGGTCCTGGAATCTCATTAGCTGATCATTCATGCCCCGCCCCTGCAGCTGGCTCTGGATTGGCAGACCCATAGGAGTGGGGATGAGCTGAGTGGCAGAGCTCTGATTGGCAAGGCCTGGCTGTATCTGTTGTCTCAGGGAATAAGACGCCAGCCCTTTACCAGGGCTGGACAGGATCTGAGAGGCCTGGAGGCCTTGCTGCCTACCCTTGGTTTGGTTCTGCCGCACCTGGGCACAGGAGCCAGCCAGGGCAGGGTTAAAGGGCAGAGGGTTAGCGTTGCTCTGCAGGCCCAGGTTCTTTCCAAGGGATTGGGCATAGGTGTTGCTGGAGGAAGCCTGCTGGAGTGTGGGGCCGTTCAATCCCATCTGAGGACCCATGTGTGTCAGCTTCAACATGCCCTGAATTTTACTCCCTGTTTCAGCCGCACTCGGGCCTCCCATCCCGAGCAACTGGTTCTGCTGGGGATCAACCCCCCAGTTGAAGCCCTTTCCTCCAGGCATCATGGTATTCCCCTGCAGGTTGACATTTGTAAGGCACTCTGGTACCTCCAGGATTGGATTGTTGACACTGACGGACCCCAGCAGTGAGTCCAGCTGCTCGGGCATCTTGAGTCCTCCGTTCTCCTTTAAGAGATGTTCCTCCACATATGACAGGATGTCGTGGTTGAAGATGTCATCCAGGTCCTCGGACATCTCACAGTTGCTGGAGCTCATCTTCAGCAGAGTGTTCTCCCAGTCCTTCAGCTCTATGGGGTCCACGTCCAGGCTGCAACAAGATAAGATAAGATCAGTTAAGGTCCACGTCCAGGCTGCAACAAGATAAGATAAGATCAGTTAAGGTCCACTTCCAGGCTGCAATTACATCAAATCCAATTTTATTTGTATAGCACATTTCATACAAGCTACAGTATAGCAATACAATACAATACAATGCGCTTCACATATATATTTTTTAATAGATATAATAAATACTAGAAAATATATGGTAATTTTCCATTTAAAAAAATTGTGTGACTTGCTTCAGCTCTTTTAAAGTATTTTTGTGGTAGTGCAAGAAGTTTAAACATTTAACTTAAGTGAAGAGGTGAAATATAGTCAAAGTTCAATATATTAAAATATCTGGTCTGATCAACCTTACTTTGGACTGTGGGGCAGTTAGATCACATATTTAATCACAAATAATTACACTAAGACTACTACACTTTTACTCATTAGTAATTAGAAATATTTTAGGTTATCATTTGGGGAGAAAAATATGATGATGCATCTAGTTGAAGAAATAATGGTTGAGTAAGTTTTGTCCCGTGTAGCTCAGTTGGTATATCATGGCGTTTGCAACGCCAGGGTTGTGGGTTCGTTTCCCACGGACGACCAGTATGAAAAAATAAAATAAAAAATGTATGCACTAACTGTAAGTCGCTCTGGATAAGAGCGTCTGCTAAATGACTAAAATGTAAATGTACCCATACTTCCATTATGTGTAAATAGTTTATGATTAGTGAACACTACAATGCAGTTATTCTGTTATATATGTCTTCCTATTAGCTGAAATCGTATTTTTTCAAAGCCATTTTAGCTGTCACGTTAGCTGTTTGGTCTGAACAACTTCACAAATTTGTAGCGCTATGCAGATGTTGACTCCCCCCAGGGACGTGTTGCTAGGCAACCCCCCTGCACTTGCCTGGGCAGGCCTGCTCCCTCCGTGGCTAAAGCCAGTGTGAGAAACGTGCTAACAAATGTTTGTGCTATGAAACTAAATAAATACTGCACTCTGACACGCAAAACATTTTTGCTAGTCATGATAGTGTTGTTAGATTTTATAATCTACTATTGTTTTTTATTAATTTATATGATTTATATTATAGTAGAAGTCAAACCTGGAACACAGGCTGTTGTCCCCGATGATCTGCTGCAGTGTTTCCATCATGTCCTGGACGCTCACGTCCGGCTTGGGCATTGTGTGGGTCTGGGACTGCCAGGAATCACCAGGCACATTGGCCAGAGCGTGGCTGTCTCTGAAGGCCTGGTCTTCCCAGGAGCACAGCTCCAGAGGGTTGGGGAGCTTGCTGGAGGGCTCGCTGGGGCTGGTCTGCATGGATGAATGATTGAATAAATGAATGAATAAATAAATGAATAAATGAATTTTTATTTTCGTGTCAATTCATCCTTAGAGACCCATCCCTTACATTGTCTGTGTCCAAAATGGCAACCTATTCCCTACATAGTACACTACTTTTGACCAGAGACCTATTGGCCCTGGTCAAAAGTAATGCATAATATAGGGAATACGGTAAAACAGAGTAAATTGCTGTACCTGCATGTAGACGGCCTGGTCCTGCTTCAGCATGGAGCCCAGCAGGGAGTCAGGGTCCAGGGCCATTTCTTCGGCCATCTTCCTGACCTTAGGGCCCTTGCTCTGGGTTGGAATGTCAGCTATGTCCAGAGAGGGGCCCACCTCGTAGAGAACAGCCTCCCCAGTGGCAAAGTTAAAGGGCAGCTGGAGTCTCCGCTGGCGAAGCTGCTCCTCACCCTCCTCATTTCTTGAGGAATAAAAAGGGGAGTGTTGGAATAAAATAGAGTACAGTAGAGTACAGCGCAGAGTAATCTTGAATTTGATGTCCAGATGATGACTCTACTCACGATAACGGTCTCTGTCTGGCCATGATGAAGTCAGGCCTCCCTCCCTTGTAGACCAGCCTGGCATTAGCCTGTACCCAGACCCACACACCAGTCTTGGCCAGGAGCCTGAACACTGTCAGACCACTCTCACCTGTCTTTATCACTAAAGAAGGGAAACATACACAAGGAAACTGTCAACAGTAGGGTTGGGTACAGCAAATATGGAGAACTCATTAGTTAGTTTATTTCATTCATTCTTTAATCCATTCGTTAGTTCAGTTATTCATTCATGAATCCATTCATTCATTCGTTAGTTAATTCATACATTCAAAGAGGAAAGTTGTAATATTGATTTGGAAACGTGATAACTACTTACTTCTGACATGGTTGTCGGCACAGTACATCATGTCAGCAGCGTGAATGAACTGGTATCCAGAGCCTCTCACACACAACTCCAGCTCAGTGTAGCCCAGAACCACCTTCCCTCTGAGACACAATAACACACAGGAGGAATAACATTAGAAATAATTGTTTTCTTCTCTGCTTACTAAAAAGTTTGTGGTTACAATTCATAATAACGTTCATGAATAAGTCATTACAAATGCTTATAAATGATTTAGAAATTAATATAAATGCTATAACGCACACAAAGGATTAACATTATCTTTAAGTTATAAATACACTACATGGCCAAAAGTATGTGGACACATGCTCGTCGAACATCTAATTCCAAAATCATGGGCATTAATATGGAGTTGGTCCCCCCTTTGCTGCTATAACAGCCTCCACTCTTCTGGGAAGGCTTTCCACTAGATGTTGAAACATTGCTGCGCGGACTTGCTTCCATTCAGCCACAAGAGCATTAGTGAGGTCGGGCACTAATGTTGGGTAATTAGGCCTGGCTCGCAGTCGGCGTTCCAATTCATCCCAAAGGTGTTCGATGGGGTTGAGGTCAGGGCTTTGTGCAGGCCAGTGAAGTTCTTCCACATCGATCTTGGCAAACCATTTCTGTATTGACCTCACTTTGTGCACGGGGGCATTGTCATGCTGAAACAGGAAAGGGCTTTCCCCAAGCTGTTGTCACAAAGTTGGAAGCACAGAATCGTCTAGAATGTCATTGTATGCTGTAGCATTAAGATTACCCTTCACTGGAACTAAGGAGCCTGAACCATGAAAAACAGCCCCAGACCATTATTCCTCCTCCACCAAACTTTACAGTTGGCACTATGTATTGGGGCAGGTAGCGTTCTCCTGGCATCCGCCAAACCCAGATTCATCCGTCGGACTGCCAGATGGTAAAGCATGATCCATCACTCCAGAGAACGCCTTTCCACTGCTTCAGAGTCCAATGGCGGCGAGCTTAGGCTCGTGTGCGGCTGCTCGGCCATGGAAACCCTTTTCATGAAGCTCCCGACGAACAGTTCTTGTGCTGACGTTACTTCCAGAGGCAGTTTGGAACTCGGTAGTGAGTGTTGCAGCCGAGGACAGATGATTTTTACGCGCTACGTGCTTCAGCACTCGGCGGTCCTGTTCTGTGAGCTTGTGTGGGCTACCACTTCACGGCTGAGCCGCTGTTGCTCCTAGACGTTTCCACTTCACAATAACAGCACTTACTGTTGACCGGGGCAGCTTTAGCAGGGCAGAAATGTGACGAACTGACTTGTTGGTAAAGTGGCATCCTATGACGGTGTCACTGAGCCCTTCAGTACAGGCCATTCTACTGCCAATGTTTGTCTATGGAGATTGCATGGCGGTGTGCTCGATTTTATACACCTGTCAGCAACGGGTGTGGCTGAAATTGCCGAATCCACTAAGTTGAAGGGGTGTCCACATACTTTTAATAACACTGGATGGGAGTGTTACCTTGTATCAACGTTCATGGGGGTGAAGTCCAGCTTGTGTTTGGTCTGGAAGATGAGTGTCTTGGTCCTGATCTCCAGGATAGAGGGGGTCTGGATGGGGGTAGCCACCACGAACAGGGCCAGCTGGGGGTGGTCCATGGTTCCACCGTCTGACATCTTGTTCTGGCCATGGAGGTACTTCAGACGCCCATGGAAGTTCAGGGCCTGTAGTTGAAGACACAACAAAATAAGGAGGAAAGGACTTCTCAATCTGTGTGATCACATGAGGATAAACAGAAATCATAATTAAAACTACATTAAGGTATGTCTTATATATATATATTGTACTGTTTTTGTTTTTCTTAAATTGTCTCATTCTGTGGAGGCAAAAGTCATATTTTAACCACTACTACTAAGTTACTAATACAAAGTTAATCTGTAGAAGTTAGGCCTCTTGTCGTGTGAGCTTGGACTGTTAGTTTACTGTACCAGGAAGCCAGAGGAGTTGTCCAGGAGACAGCGGAAGCGACAGACGAAGCTCCTCTCCAGGAAGGAAGAGTTCTCAGGGGGAATGTGCTGCGGGTCGTAGCTCACTATGTTGCTTGTGATGTCACTGCTGTTGGTAGGCTGCAGGCCTACAGTACACACAGTTACAAGTATATTTATATATCTTTTATATTTTAGTCATTTATTAGATGCTCTAATACAGAGCGACTTACAGGAGCAATTAGGGTTAAGTGCCTTGCTCAATGGCACATCGGCAGATTTTCCACCAAGGTGGCTCTGGGATACGAACCAGCGACCTTGCGGTTACTGGCCCAATGCTCTTAACAGCCAGGCTACCAGTTATTCAGCTAACTATACAACAGTTAGCTGAATAACTTTTTTCAAGCAATATCAAATCTTTCCACAAATGTTGGCTTAGGCCACGTGTCAAACTCATTCCACGGAGGGCCGAGTGTCTGTGGGTTTTCACTCCACCCTTGTACCTGATTGCTGAATTGAGGTCACTAATTAGTAAGGAACTCCCCTCACCTGGATGTCTAGGTCTTCATTGAAAGGAAAAACCCAAAACCCGCAGACACTCGGCCCGCCGTGGAATGAGTTCGACACCCCTGGCATAGGCAATCGAAAACCAGGGTGAGTACTAACATAGCAGACTAGTGTACTAACATAGCAGACTAGTGTACTAACATAGCAGACTAGTGTACTAACATAGCAGACTAGTGTACTAACATAGCAGACTAGTGTACTAACATAGCAGACTAGTGTACTAACATAGCAGACTAGTGTACTAACATAGCAGACTAGTGTGCTAACATAGCAGACTAGTGTGCTAACATAGCAGACTAGTGTACTAACATAGCAGACTAGTGTACTAACATAGCAGACTAGTGTACTAACATAGCAGACTAGTGTGCTAACATAGCAGACTAGTGTGCTAACATAGCAGACTAGTGTGCTAACATAGCAGACTAGTGTACTAACATAGCAGACTAGTGTACTAACATAGCAGACTAGTGTACTAACATAGCAGACTAGTGTACTAACATAGCAGACTAGTGTACTAACATAGCAGACTAGTGTGCTAACATAGCAGACTAGTGTGCTAACATAGCAGACTAGTGTACTAACATAGCAGACTAGTGTGCTAACATAGCAGACTAGTGTACTAACATAGCAGACTAGTGTACTAACATAGCAGACTAGTGTACTAACATAGCAGACTAGTGTGCTAACATAGCAGACTAGTGTACTAACATAGCAGACTAGTGTACTAACATAGCAGACTAGTGTACTAACATAGCAGACTAGTGTACTAACATAGTGTATTACTCACTCTCTGTTTTCCCTGGCTCTGTATCAAACTGGTTGGGGTTTAGGGCGAAGTGGAGCTGACGTCTGAACAAGGCCCTGTCGTCAGTGTGGATCAACTCAAACACACTCTGGTGGACCACGTCTGACTGTGGGAGACAGGTCAAAGAGGGAGACAAGAGTGTAAAAGATGATATACAGTAACTACAGTACAGACTAGAGAGGACTATATGAAGTGCATGAGATTCAGTCATTTCCAAATGTCACCTGGGAATTACAACTAACAGGTGCTGCCCTCTAGTGGTTTGGAAGCCCAAATAATAATGTCTGCTTCATTCAGTGTTTTGTGGGAAGAGGAAAAGAGTGGGATGGGTTCTGCATCTCTCGTTAAAGAGCAAATCTCACCAGGTGCAGAGGCACAAACAACCCCCATATTCCAAGAGGACTCTCTGTGGGTGCGTGTGTGCGTACGTGTGTGCGTGCATTGGTGTTTGGGGCATGAGTCATCAACATATTCATTAGAGCCTCTCTCCTGCAGTGTAACGTCTGTCTTTAGGCTAGTGACCCAGCCATGCACTGTGTGTGTGTATGAGTGAGTATGTACTGTAAGCAGGGGTGAACGTAGATGTAATTTCTTCCCAGTACGACACCTCCTATGTGTGCACACGCTTATGGGCCGAATCATAGAATTTTGCCGGGACGCCATACGTTCACCCCTGGCTGTGAGAGTGTATATGTGTGTGTACTGTAAGTGTGTTTATGGGCCAATGACCCGGGTTCATGCATCGTCTTGCACAGAGGGCAAGCAGTGCTTCTGGGACCAATATACCAAGCGGCAGTCACGCTACACTGTATTATTCCCAGAACACATGACTCATGTGTTTTCCTCTTCCCTTCGATCCATTAATCGCTCCGCAATGAAGAAATGCAGGGAACGTAGTTCTGACTGAGAGAGCTGTGTGAGACAAGTTTAGATGCTCTCTCTCTTTCCTCTATCTCCCTTAGGCTTCCTAAAACTCTTGGCCTCAGTCAAGGTCTCTCTCTGGGAATGATGTGTGTGTGCACGGAACGAGAGTTTGGAGTTTGTTTGCCGATGAACTTCTGACTTATAAACACATCCATTTAAATGTGGTCTGTATAAAGGAAAGCCAAGGGCATATGACTCTCAACTCTACGCACTTCTGCTTCCGATTATAGCCTTGCTTCCTCAGTTATGACTGATATGCTATGGGGATACTAGGCTTTTTGACAGATTACTGTTAAAGTTCAGGGGTCACATTAGAATGTCCAACAAGGTCAGCTGGCCAGCAAATTATTCAGCTGTGTCAATATTGACATTTCTCTTTAGTGTACATATGATGGCGTAGTTAGCTAGGTAGTTGATATGAGCTGCTATAAGCTAACATGTAGGATGCCATCAGCTAGCTATGTGATACGGCTGCAATGAGGTGACTTGAACGGTACCTACATAGGGTCTTCATAACACCTGAATAACCCGTTCATAACACATTTATAAACAGTATATGCATAATGTGGGTACACTGTCTGTGTGTCAGTCAGTGTGTGTCAAAAGGCCCTATTTCACCTGGTGGAAGCCTAGGTAGTCCTGAACAGTAGGAGAGGAGTAGAACACGTATCCCTCCGCCGTGACCACCAGCACAAAGCCATTCAGGGCCTAGAGACACAGAGAGGCACAGTCAGACAAAAATGCACACTATGAACTTGCTATTTATGAACTTAATAGTATTATATTATTATGAACTTAACATATGTTCATACTTCATACGTCAAACAAGACACACTTAGTTATTCAACATAAAGATGGGCAAATAGACTTAAACTGAAATAAATAATTATTAATTCCATGACGTAGTGAATGATAAGGGGCAATAAAGGATTCAAATTATAAATTAGAGGGGGAAATCTGGTCGGCTGTGCATACAGTTGAAGGAGGGAGAAGTAGCCATGGTGTGTGTGTGTGCGTGTGTGTGTGTGTGTGTATGTATGTGTGTGTGTTCAGGTTTGGGTAAACATCCCATGTAATTAGCCATGCCTTTGTTCAGGTGTTAAACGTGACAATAGAACGGAGCGGTGGGGAATATAGCTTCTTGTCACGCACAGGATCCTGGACCCTGTAAACAATAGACCACCAGAGAGTGTGAGTGTGTGTGTGTGTGAGAGAGAGAGAGAGAGAGAGAGAGAGAGAGAGAGAGAGAGAGAGAGAGAGAGAGAGAGAGAGAGAGAGAGAACAACACACAGAGAGAGAGAGAGAGAGAAGAGAGAGAGACAACAGATAGAGAGATAGAGAGAGAGACACAGATAGCGATAGAACAACACAGAGAGAGAGAGATAGACTAGTGACGAGAGGTCCTGCATTTTGGTTTCACAATAAAGGGCCTTTGTTATATCTGGATTTACTGGAAGCTGCTGCAAATTTTCAGCATTTAACACACAGACATTAGCTACCAGGTTTAGGAATACATGCAAAAGTATTGGTGTGTCTGCGCAGTGGTGGAAAAAGTACCCAATTGTCAAAGTTGAGTAAAAGTAAAGATACCTTAATAGAAAATGACTCAAGTAAAAGTGAAAGTCAACCAGTAAACAACTACTTGAGTAAAAGTCTAAAAGTATTTGGTTTTAAATATACTTAAGTATCAAAAGTACATGTAATTGCAAAAATATACTTAAGTATCACAAGTAAAAGTCTAAGTCATTTCAAATTGCTTATATTAAACAAACCAGACGGCACAATACATACATTTTATTTCAACAAATACAGATAGCCATGGGCACATTCCAACACTCAGACATCATTTACAAATGAAGCATTTGTGTTCAGTGAGTCCACCAGATCAGAGACAGTAGGGATGACCAGGGATGTTCTCTTGATAAGTGTGTGAATTGGACCATTTTCCTATCCTGCTAAGCATTCAAAATGAGTACTTTACACCACTGTGTGTGTGTTTGAGGGTAATAGTTAGTGATTCTAACAGACCTACTCTAATTATTTCCTGAGAAAGACTACAGGACAACAAGACGATAATGTAGTTTGTAACATCTTCATGATATATGCTCCCAGATTGCACTGAACAAGTTTTTTGCATGGTGAATCAACCACATAGTGAAACACAGTGAAACAACTGCCCCCATGAGTCTTTGTCTGGTGTCTAGGCCTACACACACAAAAAAAAAACACACACACACACACAATTGTGTCTCATAAGAGCTGCGTTTGTTCCCTGTGGGGAATTACTGCAGTCACCAGGACAGAGACTGAGGAAGACAGTCAAGACAAAACTACAAACTTCCCAGCATTACCAAACTATCAACGCTGAGAATCAGTCATAAATCAGTCTAGCGCCATCCTCCATTAGACCAGTCCCTACTGGAGAGAATAGGGCTGTGTGTGGTCAGTGGTGAGACCTCCCTGGAGATGGCGATGGTTATCTTTAGCACTAAAGCTAATGCTAATGAGGACTAGCATAGCCCTCACTGAGAAATGGGACAGCACGCTAACACTACTAGCATTAGCCCCCACTGAGAAATGGGACAGCACTGTCAGAGGCATTGCCCATGGGTAATGAAATGAGAGCGTCAAACTCAGGATTTAGTCAGGAGGGGAGGGAATCTGGGTGTTTACTCCAAGAGGATGACTCCATTTGTGTACATACACAAGTGGTTGAATGCACTTATTTTTGTCTCCTTTGGTGGCATTGAACATACATATATGAGAGGTTATATGGAGGTTGTTGAAATATCAAAGTGTTTATAATCGAGCATATTTGTTCGAGACTGTATACAGGGGTTCTATATCTATGGCATACAGTATGCATGATATATAGGCTGATGACGTGAGACAGTAATCCCTAATCCCACTCTCGGTGAGGTGGAGGAGCTTCGGTCATGTCACGACGTAAAACAAATTGCTTTTCGTATAACTGGAGGGGAAGGAGTGAGGTTGTTTTGTTTACATGTAGATGGGTATGAGAGGCATCATATAGTGTGTGTGAGCTGGGGGACAGGTTGGTGCTTGCCCCTCACGTCAGCTAAACTTCCTCAGGTAAACCCCAGAGGGAGAAAGAGGCCTCGGGCTGGCGGGGAGAGACAGACAGACAGGCAGACAGACAGACAGTACACACACTGTATACCTGGAGCAGAAGGTTTCCCTCGGAGAACTTGACCCCATCCACAGAGGTTGTGGTGGTTGTGGTCTTCGCTAGAGTGAGCTGTCCATTCCCTCCGTACCCCAGCGCTCTCTCCACCCCCCACCCTGGACTGCCTTTCTTCATGGTCGCTGCAAAACAGAACAGAAAGAGAAACATAACTTCACACCGGCACACAAACCTGAAAGCAATATGCGGCGGACAGTGGGAGAACGCAGCATGGAACTCACTTCTCAAAGATTTTGTTGACATGCTCTCTGCTAACGTCTGTAACTCTGTAACAATCTTCTTCTTCTTTTTTCTTCTTCTTCCAAGCCAACAGACTAAACTCCAGCCCCTAAGGCAGCTCTCCTTCATTCTCTCCAACCCCTGCTGTTGTTGCTGTGTGTGGTGTGTATGTGTGTGTGTGTGTGTGTGTTTGTATGTGTGTGTGTGTGTGTGTCTGGACTTGTATTACTATCCTCGTCGGTACCGGAAATCCCCAAAAGTCATCACAAGGATAGTAAAGGATAGTCCCCACGAGGAAAAAGGCTTTTTAAGCTTAGGGGTTTGGTTTAGGGTTACAATTAGGATATGGGTTAGAATTAGGGTTAGGGTTAGGGGTTAGGATTTAAAGTTGGAGTTAAGGTTAGGGTTAGGGTTTAGAAATCAATTGTAGGTCCCCACAAGGATAGTAGAACATATGGTGTGTGTGTCTTTGTGTGTGTGCATGTGCTTGCTTGCATGTGTCTGTGTGTCAGCCAGGATTGGCTTTGGGCTCATTTGGGACTTAACTTTGACTCCAGACTTAATAGATGGGATTATAAGATCTACCTCCCCATTTGTCTAACTCCATTTTCTCCTTCCCTTGTTCATTTGTTTTCATCCCCAGGAGAAGCCCTGACAGAGAGCAAGGCTTATAGGGGACTAAGTGCGGGTGTGTACATCATATGCTTCAACTGGAGACTTGAGACATACTCCAGATGTCCACAGCCAGGCCTCTAATCTATGTTTGCGTCCACTAAAAGCAGAGCAGCAGACAAAGCCAATTGTTTTCAGAATTGTCGGATGAGCGGCGACTATTTCTGTCCATTAGTCTAATATCTCAAAGGTGGACTTCTTAAATTAGGTCAGAATCGAAAGAGAGAGAGAGAGAGAGAGAGAGAGAGAGAGAGAGAGAGAGAGAGAGAGAGAGAGAGAGAGAGAGAGAGAGAGAGAGAGAGAGAGAGAAGAGAGAGAGAGAGAGGATAGAGAGAGAAGCAGATAGAGAAAGAGAGAGAGAGCGAGAGCAACTATAAGAGAGAGATAGAAGCAGAGAAGAGAGAGGAGAGAGAAGAGCAGAGAGAGAGGCAGAAGAGAGAGAGAGAAATAGAGCGAGAGAGAAGAGCGAGAGAGATAGAGAGATAGCTATATAGAGAAACGAGAGAGAGAGGCAGATAGAGTAAGCTAGAGAATAGAGCGATATATGAGTAGAGATTCCTATATATATGAGAGAGAGAGATGAGGAGAGAGACAGCCTGCCAAGATTTGTGACCTTTTTGCCCACAAGAAAAGGGAGCAACCCAGTTGAAGAACAAACACCATTGTAAATACAACCCATATTTATGTTTATTTATTTTCCCATTTGTACTTTAACTATTTGCACATTGTTACAACACTGTATATATACATAATATGACATTTGAAATGTCTTTATTCTTTTGAAACTTCTGAGTGTAATGTTTACTGTTAATATTTATTGTTTATTTCACTTTTGTTTACTATCTACTTCACTTGCTTTGGCAATGTTAACACACGTTTCCCATGCCAATAAAGCCCTTAAATTGAAATTGAAATTGAATTGAGAGAGAGAGGCAGACAGACAGACAAAGACAGAGTGAGAGAGAAGGAGACAAACAAATCGAGGAGACAGACAGTGACAAATAGCCGTACATACTGGAGCCGGACACACTGGCGAGAGTCTACTCTCACCGTCTTTCTCTGGGCTCTGGATTGTGACTGTCTGGACATAGGCTGTGACTGACTCCATCATACTCCAGACTGCAGTCCAGACTGAACCCTAGGGCTCTAGTCCTTCCCCTCTCTCCCCTTCCCCTTTCCCGTCTGTAGCTCCAGACCAGAACAAGAGCCTCCTTGTTCCCACTCTCAGCCTCCCCTCGGCCCTCATACCCGGCTCGACACAACACACCCACTGTGCTCAGCCACTTCTGATGAGGGCCGAACGAGCCAGGGGCTTTCTCTTCCTTCACCACAGATCTTAAATCAATAAAGCATGTTGTTCAGCCTGAACTACAGCTTGGACTGGGTCTGGAGGGCTGGTTGGTCCTGTCAGAAGGCTTGATGGGGGCTGCTTCACCAACACAAATTCCTCCAATCACAGAGATAAGTGACGCTCATAGTACCTTGCTATAAGTTAGACATTTCCCAATTGGAATGTGAGTGTGTGGCTGCTGTACATTGGCTAGCCCAGAGCTAGCTAGAGCGAGTGGCTGCTGTAGGCTACATTAGGCTAGCCTGACAATTCACACTAAATTCTTATGCTGCTCTGTCGTTCGCTACATACTTTAGTAGTTCGTGGCGACGAGGGGCGCGAGGGGTGTTGTACAAAACAAAGTCAACAGCGATTGGATCGTCTCAAACCAATCAGAGTATCAAAGCCAATTACTAATTTTCAAACCACCGCTTTACCCACGTGTGTTCTGGCTCTAGCCTAAGCCATCGGTTTCTGGACCAATCACACGGCCCTGAATGTGTTCGCATTCGGTGAAGGAATCGGGAAGGTACTCAGATCCAGACTCAACGCGGAGAAGAAACTAATGTCTGTGGGCGTGTAAGGAGTATGGGTAGCCAGGCAAACATTAGGCTATAGTACAGAGCTAACCCTGGCTCTGAGGTATGGCCTGAGAGCATGTGGCTGACTGCTATATCCTACATTGGCGCTAGCTGGAGTGTATGGTTGCTGTATAGGCTAGCCTGGAGCAAGCTCTGCCCCTGAGGTACGGTCGGCTGCAGGCTGGGTGGGGCGCCCAGTCATTTCCTGTGTGTGTTGTGAGCTACAGGCAGCAGCTAATGCTATTTCTGGATCCTCAGCCGTTATCAAGCCCTCTGTATCACAAGAAGAAAAATAAAGATAAAGAGAGGGAGAGAGAGAAATCGAGAGGGAGAGAGAGAGAGAGAGAGAGAGAGAGAGAGAGAGAGAGAGAGAGAGGAGAGAGAGAGGAGAGAGAGGAGAGAGAGAGAGAGAGAGAGAGAGAGAGAGAGAGAGAAGAACAAAAACAACAGTGTTTCTTTCCAGCAACAAAAACCCAAAATACCTTTCCCACAGGACACAGATGTTGGGAGATAATTTTGGGGGAAATGCAAAGCCAAAGGCAAACCACTTAAAAGGACGACGGCCTATCGATATGGCCCAGTAAATTGCAGAGTACTTAACTACGTAGCATACATCAGGGTTAGGATGGAGAGAGAGAGAGAGATAGAGAGAGAGAGAGGGACGAGAGGAAGAGAGAGAGCACAGTTTCAGGGTTTGGCAGACATGTACACTATGTGGCTATGCGGTATGGTTACTTTCCCATGTTTGTTCTTATAATGACTACGGGAGGAAGAGAAGACAGTGTTTCTATTTGGGCTGACAACAAGGGCTCATCACTGGGTCATGACTGTGGTCCTATAGCTCAGTTAGTAGAGCATGGCGCTTGCAATGCCAGAATAGTGTTTTGATTCCTGGGAGCACTGTACGTAAAATGTATGTATGCATGCATGACTAAGTCACTTTGGATGGATAAACATTTCTGCTAAATGGCATATGCATTATATACATGCATGTGAACAGTGGACCAGGGAGACCGATGTTTAATTCAGCGAACCAACTAGAGAGAATATGGGCCAGGGTTCATATTCACAGAGTCTCAGCGTCAGAGTGCTGATTTGGATAAATGTTGCCTTTTATTTATTTTAAATTTATTTATTTTTTGTTATTTAGCAGACGCTCTTATCCAGAGTGACTTACAGGAGCAATTAGGGTTAAGTGCCTTGCTCAAGGGCACATCTACAGATTTTTCACCTAGTCGGCTCAGGGATTAGAACCAGCGACCTTTCGGTTACTGGCACAACGCTCTTAACCACTAAGCTACCTGCTGCTTTTAGATCATAATGAATACGATTATATGGACAGGGAGGACCGGATCCTATAAAAGCTCTCCTACTCTGAGACACTTTATGAATACGGGCCCAGAACTCCAGTATAGCAGTTGCCTGTCCCACGTAAAGGGAGCCAGCCCTGGAAGGACTAGCTGTGTCTGGCTGCTCCGTATCCTGCTGCTGTTACTGGAGCACAGAGACCAAACCAAACCCTTGGAACAGTTCACAGGGTTTAACCAATCAACGTGCTTCGACTTCCCTATCAGAACATCTGCGGCCTGGTCCCTCGGTCTGTGGGGTTAACCTCGACACTGACGTGAAGCTCTGACTACACAGCAAAGGAATGACTGGAGGGCTGGCTCAGCCCAGTCCACACACACATGCACGGCCACACACACACATAACACACACACACACAGGCCTCCGCAGAGGGGAGGCCAAACGAGGAAAACAGACAAGGCCGCAAAATTGCCACTTGGCTGGTCAGATAGCAGCAACAGCAATACCACATTCCTCTATTCTCTCCTGACTGACTGGCTGACTGTAGCCCAGAGAGCTGGAAATGGACGGGAGTCACAGAGTCTAGAAATGAGAATGGTCTGAAGTGGTTTGGTCAGCATAGGACTGTACAGCAGAACTCTGCCCGGCCCGCAGAACTCAATCGATCAGGACTGAATTACCATTCAAATGACATTCCTACTGCTGCCAGTGAATATTATGGAGAGTAGCCTATGATTAGAGGCTTTGGAGTCATCTAGCTCCAGTTGCTCTTTCCTAATGATTGCCTGTCACTGACCATCATACACCATCTATGTACTTTGCTATGGCACTTCGTTTGATGATACGCATGTCATCATTTCTCTTCATTTACTTCAAAACAAAATATTCCATTTATATTCTCTTTTGAATGTTTCCAATACTAGTGGAATGCCAACATATCCCTTCAAGTTGGCACTCTCACGTTCAAGTCATCGCTACTCAACCTAGTGACGAAGAGAGAGTCGAGTGTAAAACAGACACACACACACACACACACCCCCCACCCCCACCAAAACACCCCAGGGCAGACAGCCGGTCCGCCGACCACAGCTGTCCACACTTGGCGGAGGGCAGCAGTCTAGTCTCATCATTATTTTAGCATTAGAAGGTCAACCCACCAGTCAGTCTCCTGTAGGACCAAACAGAACCATAAAAGGTCTCTAATTTCAAGGTGAATTCAATCTACCCACCCACCACCAGGGAGCCAGGGATGGTCTGGGCACCTAATGGATGAGCACGGTCTATATATATATATATCATCCCAGTGTGACAGTAATGGGATATGTAGTGTACATCATCAACAAGGCGTCCAGAATAATCACATTACAGTGAGACAACACTCCAGGGCCAAAGAGAGAGAGTTCGTATGGGTTCCAAATGGCACCCTATTCCCTATAAAGTGCACTACTTTTGACCAGGGCCCATGGAGCTCTGGTCAAAAGTAGTACATTATATATAAGGAATTGGGTGCCATTTGGAACCCATACGAACTCTCTCTATTTGGCCCTGGTTGTCTCACTGTAATGTCATCAGGCGGTGGAAGGACGGCTTGATCGATTCTGGATGCTTTGTTGATGATGTGCTTAGGCGACAGTAGTTTGTGTGTGTGTGTGTGTGTATGTGTGTGTGTGCGTGCGTGTGTATGCGTGTGAATGACCAGGTCCGAGCTACCTGCCAAAAGGTTAAAGGGCAAAAGGCTGTAAAAAAAAAATCATTATGTACTCACTAACTGTAAGTCGCTCTGGATAAGAGCGTCTGCTAAATGACTAAAAAATTTACAAAAAATAAATAAATAATGTAAAGGGTAAAAGGCTGTGTGTATGAAATATATAATACGCTTGCAGATGTTCAACCAGTATACAGAAGTGTCTGTGAAAGCATGCACAGCTAATCACTGCAGAGCAGGGCCTCTCTTGGACTGCTACAGTACAGGTACAATAATATGACACCCAGGATAAACGGCTTCCTGTCACACCAAAGAGGAAATGTTCAACCCCAAAAAGTCTACTTGCACACATACATGTAGATCCCCATACAAGCCACCTATAGTGCAGTTCAGCTGTGTTGTACTGTACTGTACCTCTCTACGGCGCTTATAACGCCAAGGTAGTGGGTTCGATCCCCGGGACCACCCATACACTAAAAAAATGTATGCACGCATGACTGTAAGTCGCTTTGGATAAAAGCGTCTGCTAAATGGCATATTATTATTATTATTATTACCTCCCTCTTTACCACGCCTCTACCTCCCTCCCTCCCTCCACCTCTGGTGTATAGTATAGGAACACACACCGACTGCCGTGTGACTAGCTCATCCCCCTTTTAACGGCTGATGTTTCCCAGACAGAGCCATGGAGCCATGATTCATACCCTTTACACTAGAGGAGAGAGCGAGGGAGGGAGGAGAGAGAGAGCGAGGGAGGGAGGAGAGAGAGAGCGAGGGGAGGGGAAAGAGAGGAGAGGAGAAGGCGAGGGAGAGAGGAGAGAGAAGCTGGATAGAGGAGAACTAGAGTATGGTTTTAACCCAAGCAGAAATAGAAGAGACCGGAGACGTGGCGCGTGACGGAGAGTCGTAGTCGGGAAGCTCGGGAGATGGCGGAGATCGCTAAGACTGATAGACGCGGAGTAGAGAAAGTGGAGATGAGAGAGACGATAGGCGAGATGTGAGATTATCTATATATATCGAAGAAGGGACGAGAGAAGAGCGAGGACGAGAGGGTAGGAGGAGAGAGAGAGAGAGGAGGAGAGAGAGAGAGAGAGAGAGAGAGAGAGAGAGAGAGAGAGAGGGGGAAGCCCAGCCTCCTCTATCTGTTCTTGCTCTTGTATGGCCGTCTAGTTAATGACCATCGCGTGCAGAGTGAGACTGCATCCTTGACAGCACCTGAACCCTATTAGCTTACAAACTGCACCACTTTCCAGTATTTTATTTTCTCTCTTTTTTGTGTGCAAATGGTGTTTGGCACTAATGACTCCCTACCTCTTGCTGCCCTAAACATAATGAACTTCATATATTTCATAGGCAAACAAATGTGTGATAGTGCCCCTAGCAGTCACTGTGGGTGGACTACAGTACCAAGACCTGTCAGGGGTAACGAGAGACCCACACAAAGGGTACGTATCCTGTTATTGACTCTTGACTCAAACTGAGAGAAAATCGACAATACAACAACGTAATATTTTTTGTATGTCATTTTCATACCAGTTTAAGTGAAGTACTGTACACAACATGAGGCAGAGGATTGTGTACGTGTGTATGTGTGTGTGCGCGGTGTGTGAGGTTTTGCCCGACAGTACGCTTAAAGCTCAGGGAGAGAGAGGAGAGTTACAGTGCGTGGGATGTAGAAACATGTACTTCTAAATAACGACTCGCTCGTTACTCCGCTCTGGAGTTTTTTCTGAGCCGTGCCATAACGATTTACAGCAAAACATAACATAGATTTTAAGATAGATTTTATGCACTCTCCCATTTCACATACATCATCGGGCACTTTTTCTTCCCACCGTTTCTCTCTCTGTGAGGCTGAGCTATGTTAGAGATTGTTCTTAACACGTGAAATAAAATGTAGTCTACGGCCGATTGATTTCCTCTGTGTCTAAGCTAAGCACACATTGGTTTGTAAAGTCTTCAGTTCCTGATCAACTTTCCTTCAGGCGATAAATCAGTAATTGCTAAAGTAATTTTCAACAGCTCACGCTTGCAAAAAACCTCCAAAACAGTGCGTGTGTGAGTTAGAAAGAGTGTTAGAATGATATACAGTAAGACAAGTACACTGTACTAGAGGACGCTTTAGTAGGCTAGGCTTTGTGTTGTGGGCGTGTTGGGGCATGCTCAGTGGACCTCTGTAATACTCGGTGCCTCCCTCTCTCTGCCTCGTCGTCCTGACTCTACCCTCTGTGGCCAACCCTGAGCTGTTTATCCGTTGAGATTTAGGGAGAAACAAGGAAACAAGGATGGAAAAAAACACGAGGAGAACAAAGAGGAAGAGGGGGAAGAAGGAAAGAAAGAAAGAGGGAACGGCTGTGGGTACAGTGGGGAAAAAAAAGTATTTATTCAGCCACCAATTGTGCAAGTTCTCCCACTTAAAAAGAGGAGAGAGGCCTGTAATTTTCATCATAGGTACACGTCAACTATGACAGACAAAATGAGATTTTTTTTTCCAGAAAATCACATTGTAGGATTTTTATTGAATTTATTTGCAAATTATGGTGGAAAATAAGTATTTGGTCACCTACAAACAAGCAAGATTTCTGGCTCTCACAGACCTGTAGCTTCTTCTTTAAGAGGCTCCTCTGTCCTCCACTCGTTACCTGTATTAATGGCACCTGTTTGAACTTGTTATCAGTATAAAAGACACCTGTCCACAACCTCAAACAGTAACACTCCAAACTCCACTATGGCCAAGACTAAAGAGCTGTCAAAGGACACCAGAAACAAAATTGTTGACCTGCACCAGGCTGGGAAGACTGAATCTGCAATAGGTAAGCAGCTTGGTTTGAAGAAATCAACTGTGGGAGCAATTATTAGGAAATGGAAGACATACAAGACCACTGATAATCTCCCTTGATCTGGGGCTCCACGCAAAATCTCACCCTGTGGGCCCAAAATGATCACAAGAACGGTGAGCAAAAATCCCAGAACCACACGGGGGGCCCTAGTGAATGACCTGCAGAGAGCTGGGACCAAAGTAACAAAGCCTACCATCAGTAACACACTACGCCGCCAGGGACTCAAATCCTGCAGTGCAAGACGTGTCCCCCTGCTTAAGCCAGTACATGTCCAGGCCCGTCTGAAGTTTGCTAGAGTGCATTTGGATGATTCAGAAGAGGCTCGGGAGAATGTCATATGGTCAGATGAAACCAAAATATAACTTTTTTGGTAAAAACTCAACTCGTCGTGTTTGGAGGACAAAGAACAGCCCCAAAGAACACCATACCTACTGTGAAGCATGGGGGTGGAAACATCATGCTTTGGGGCTGTTTTTCTGCAAAGGGACCAGGACGACTGATCCGTGTAAAGGAAAGAATGAATGGGGCCATGTATCGTGAGATTTTGAGTGAAAACCTCCTTCCATCAGCAAGGGCATTGAAGATGAAACGTGGCTGGGTCTTACAGCATGACAATGATCCCAAACACCGCCCGGGCAACGAAGGAGTGGCTTCGTAAGAAGCATTTCAAGGTCCTGGAGTGGCCTAGCCAGTCTCCAGATCTCAACCCCATAGAACATCTTTGGAGGGAGTTGAAAGTCTGTGTTGCCCAGCGACAGCCCCAAAACATCACTGCTCTAGAGGAGATCTGCATGGATGAATGGGCCAAAATACCAGCAACAGTGTGTGAAAACCTTGTGAAGACTTACAGAAAACGTTTGACCTGTGTCATTGCCAACAAAGGGTATATAACAAAGTATTGAGAAACTTTTGTTATTGACCAAATACTTATTTTCCACCATAATATGCAAATAAATTCATAAAAAATCCTACAATGTGATTTTCTGGAATTTTTGACGTGTACCTATGATGAAAATTACAGGCCTCTCTCATCTTTTTAAGTGGGAGAACTTGCACAATTGATGGCTAACTAAATACTTTTTTTCCCCACTGTATGTAGTAGTACCGTGGGAACTCAACTGGACTGGTTCAGATTCTGATGCTGGAAAACCAGCCGAATTTCTTTCATCCATCCCACACTGCACTGTAGCAATACCTATGACTTTAATTCGAACCAGCTGGACTGGGGAAAGCAGCTAGCAAACCCCCAGTCAGTCCCCTAATAAAACAAGAGACCCAATTCCTATCTCTCCCCTCCATCTCTCTCTACATCTCCCCGCTTCGTGCCTTTAAAGTAAAGAGGTAAAGCGATGGGGCCTCCGCAGCTGCTAGGGGTTCCTCTAGGCTCCACTACAACTTCTCCTGGCGTCAGACGCTCTACATACAGTAGAGGAAAAGAAACCACTTAAGCCCTCTGCAAACCTACAGTCCCCACCCTCTCTTCTCTCTCTCCTCTCTCTCCCCCCTCTCTCTCTCTCTCTCTCTCTCTCTCTCTCTCTCTCTCTCTCTCTCTCTCTCTCTCTCTCTCATCTCTCTCCCTCTCTCTCTCTCTCTCTCTCCGTCTCTACAAACCCTCTGACCCACCCCTATCCTTCCCCCATCTCTCCCTAACTTCTCCCCCACACCCATTCACTCACTCACTGGGGTTTTTGAAGACTTTAAACCTAAGAGCTGAATCGAACCATTGTTTTCCCCTGCCTGCCTCATCGTCTGGCCAGCTAGCACAACCTCGTCCAGCCTCTCTCATTCCCTCTCTTATCGCTCTCTTTCTTTCTTGTTTAAGGGCAGGTCGTAACTTGCAGACCTCTGGAGGAGCACAGTGCTGTATCTATCTGTAGATCGACACTCTCTCTTCAGCAGTGGCACTGACAGACCCCCTTGGTTCCCTTGTACTGTACAATACAGTACACATGCCCAGTTCACACAACTGTTTTGAATAGTAACTTCGAATTATTTAATAAATTCCCATTAGCATGCTTGTTCTTCCTAAACATGCCTTAACATACTGTACCTACAGCAAGATATTCTGAAAAAGGTATCTATGCGTTCGTGTACGTCTTGATAAAGCTCCTACAGTTGCCCCCAGATAAGCACAAAGGCTATTTAGCTTGCTCTGACTCCATGCAGTCAGCTAGCATAGGATAATCTCAACTTTACATATCTCAATATTAGCTGTTCTAATACCAATGAACTATTTGCTGAATAAAATGGACACTCTAGACGCCACCCCAAGTTACCCTTCTTTGGGGTTTCCATTATACAATTTTATGCAAATATGTGCAGGACAGCTAATAAGCGACATTACTGTCTCCCCCCTGGCCCTCATTCATGTTTCACCCTCCAGTTCCCCTGTCTGTCCCTACACATCCCTATAGTCTAAACGTTGGCCTGTAGTCCCCGCCACAGGGTATATTATCCCCATCACACACATACACACACGCACGCCCGCGGACATGTGCACACATGCTAGGATACACACACACACGCATCCGCTAGAGCCCACCAACAGATGTGCAGTTCCTTCCATGCCTGGAGCAGATCAATAAATTGACCGCCTGTCTGACCAGCTTCCTAATAATTATATCCTGACACCCTCCTTGAATCCCTCCATCCATTCCTCCATCCCACCATAGTCTTTACATGGGCCAAATCTGACGGCAACCTTCCTGGTCTCTCCAAAACCTGACAATGTATCATTTCCACTCCGTCTCACCTGAAGCCATGTACTAACCATAAAGAGAAGGCCAAATACTGGTCCTCTGTGTTTTAGTTCTTTAGTTCTTAACCTTTATTTTTACAGGGAGTCATGCTGAGACCAAGGTCTCTTTTACAGATGAGCCCTGTATACACATCAATACACATAAATGTACACTATACACATCAATATACACATCAATATTCACATCAATGCACGAAAAGCAAAACACAATCATAGAAAACAAACACATTCTTCAATAAAAAGGTCCAATTTTAGAGAGCCTTGAAGATTATTCCACAAGTAAGGTGCAAAAAAAACAAAAGCAGATTTACCTAACTCAGTGGAGATCGAAGGGATCTCCAGAGTTAGCCATCCCTGAGACCGGGTCTGGTATCTCGTACGTCTGTGTAGTGTGGCATGGAGGTCTGACATGGCAGTAAATGGCTAGGCCACACGGGGTGCATCCCAAATGGCACCCTATTCCCTATGTAGTGCACTACTTTTGACCAGGGCCCATAGACTATAAAGGGAATAGGGTGCTATTTGGGATGCTGCTATGGTCTGTCATGGAGGAGGTGGGACAGCGATTTACTCTAGCCTTAACAGTATAAAGCCCTCAAATTCAAATCTGGACCTTGAAGCCCCACAGAGGGTGCCATAAACAACACCCCGTACAGAACAGGGACAGGGGCAACTTTCCTGGAAGTCACGGCAAGCATGTTCCTAAAAGGTCACACTAAGGCATAAGTTACAGCACATTGCTATTCAAGGTTCCACAGCAGAATATGAACCTACTGTACATTATACAACATGGGCATTATACATTCCCCATAGGCTATATCAGGGGTATTCAGATTCTACCCTGGAGGTCCGGAGACCTGCTAGTTTTCTGTTCTACCTGATAATTAATTGCCCCCACCTGGGGTCCCATGTCTAAATCATTCCCAGATTAGAGGGGAAGAATTTTAAAGAAGGCAGTGGAAATGGCTTCAAGGTCCAGATTTGAATTTGAGGGCTTTATACTGTTAAGGCTAGAGTAAGTCTAAAACAGTCATAGAAACTAAGGTTAATGAACCAAACTATGAACCTACGTGAAGCAGAATACAAACCTATATAATACTACATTATCTATCAACCATCAGTCTCCTACAGGCTACAGTAAGCTTTAAACTCTTAAAGTAAGAGAGAGACACTGAGGGATCATGGGACGAACTGTCCTCTGTACTCTGTTTACAGAG